CATTCACTAGTTCGCTGAATTGCCCAGTCCGTACGGACCTGATCGTATGACCAGCGCGGTCAATTGATATATCAGAAATCTCCTGTAGATCCTTGCCTCTGAGGTAACTTCTATCTTTCGAGACTCTCTGCCTATCGTATTTTGGAAACGGGCAGCACCGCGGCCGCGCAGCTGTGCAGCCCGGCAGGTTCGGGCACAGATTTGCTCTGTTCATTTCACGAAACGGTGCTAGCGCTTTAATTTTACTTCAAATCCTCACAAGTGTTGGTTTTACGAGATGTTAGAGATCCTTTTTATTGCTGATAGCAGGGACTCACCTTCAAATATCCAAAGGAAATGAAGGTTACACTTATTCCATTCCTTTTTTTTTTTCTTCCCGCGGAATCAAATTTTAAAGGTCTCCAGAGAGAAATAAGATTTTTGACATTGAAAAATACACTCAACCTAATATTACACTCCAGGCGTTGGAAAACAGACCGTTCATGGGATTGCCATTCACTCAAGGAAACTTGTTCAAACAGAGCTTTCTTGTCTATTTTTATTTTTTTGGCACTAAGTGTCTCCAGCCACATCCTGCAGCTCTTAGTGAGGAAAAACCGTCAGTGCAATGTCTTAACTTCTCCAAATCCTTCAGGATAGGGTCCCTCTGCCAGATAGTGTGTTTCAAAACTTCCTCAGAAGCTTTTAAATAGACTTGCATTGCCTTCAGTATTTCAGACAGGACTGTGACTAAAGTATTTCTACGAGGGCTATGTGTAAAGGCCGCGTAAACCTTGAAGGGACCCCAACTTGCTGCTCTCATTTCGGAAAAAAATATAGATATATAAGTATATAGATGTATCTGCAAGGGGTTGGCCAGCCTCCAGCGATTTCTCGGTATTTACCCGGTGATGAATTTCGAAACTACGTACTGCCTTTCCGAGCCTTTGTCGGTAGGCACACCGGCGGTGCTGATTATCCCCGCCGCGGAGCCGTGAGAGGGGCCACCCCGGCTGCGCCCACCGCCTTCCAAGTGGGGATGGAGGGGTAGCGGAGGCCGTGCGGAGCATTTCCCAAGAGGGCCGAGTTAACTCTGTTCACTTGCCTTATCTTCCATATTGGGCTATATTTTGAGCTTAAGGCTCAGGGCGAGTCGGGAAAAAAACACGTCTTAAGCAAAAGACTTTTCCTCCTGATGTGAGCCCGGGAGGCTGTTCTGCTGCACGGAGCCATTCTGCCTGGAGTTCGCCGGACTTTGGCCTTCCCAGGAGAAATCATGGCCAAATTTCTCTTCAGGTCCTAGAGCAGTTTTAAAGTTAAAAAGTACTTTTTTTTTTTTTTTTAATGTCTTCCTCCCTTCCGCCTCCCTCTTCATGCTGTGCAAACCCTTTGGACGCAGAAAATTACGTTTTGGCAAAGTGACACTTTCCGCTGGGCTAGTAGGAGACAGTGTTTACAAGCTCAGCGGACCTTAGACCTTAGTGCCAGATGAAGAGACCTTGGAGGTTTGCAGTTTTCAAACCTACTGTTTTTGCACTCCCCTCCGCTCGCTGCTCCCTGGAGCCAGCTCCCCGCCGCCCCCGCTCCAGCGGTGTGCGCCCCGGAGCGCCGGCCACACGGTGATTTCCCTCCCTCTTTTGTGTTTCCTATAGGGAAAACAACGAGAATTCCAACTCCAACAGCCACAACCCGCTTTCGGCGTCAATGAACGGGAATAAGACAGTTTTGGGGAGCTCAGAGGACGAGAAGACGCCGTCAGGGACCCCGGATCACACCTCCTCCAGCCCCGCGTTGCTGCTTAGCTCCAATCCCGGGCTGCAGCCCCTGCACGGCCTGGGCCACCCCCAGGGCCCCAGCGCCATCCCCGTGCCCAGTGCCGACCCCATGCACCACCACGGCTTGCAGGACTCCATCCTCAACCCCATGTCATCTAACCTGGTAGATCTGGGCTCTTAAAACAGTGTACACGCTCCCTCCTTGGCACCAGCCCTCCTTTACTCTATTTTTTTTCCTTTTTTTTTCTTTCCTTTTTTTTCCTCCCCCCTTAATCTAACCAGAGACTTTGAAAGAGATGACAAACACCTTAGTGGATGTGTTGTGTCCTTTGGCAGAAGGCTGGCTGCAGGTTTGCAAGGTAGCAGACTCAACTGTGGGCAGTGATGTTGTGAAAAGCCTTAAGAGTTGTTTACAGGGGGGCTCAGGCGTGTAATGACTATTGGACAGAAGCTGTGATTTTCACGGCAGGCTGTAAGGGGGATCGGTTTAGCAGCTCTTTCCAGCCTTAATTTCACGAATCTCTCAGTGGTGTCACTCGATCGGGCCGGTCTGTGTGGGAAGAGGCACATTGTAATATTTTTTTTCGGGGTGTGGGGAGGAAAGTGGAACGCAAGGCTGCTGTTGCCATGCCTGTTTGGAAGTTACACATCTCTCCCGTTATTCTATTGTAGCTATGTATCCGTGGCAGGTGTATGATGTACAATTTCAACTAAGAATACAAAAGTTGTAGACAAGTTATAGCAGCAACACGCGCTCTAGGCAGACTCTGTAACCTTCTTGTAGCTGATGCTATGCAGAGAGACAGCTTCTTTGGCCTTGTCCATGTGGTGCTTTAGCCATTTGCTGTGTGGAAAAGGAAGTGGTGGCCCGGCTCTGGCCCGGAGGAAGGCAGAGACAGAATTCCCCCCTCTGTGTGCAACGTGGGCAGGAGCTGGCTTTAAAAAGAAAAGAGGAATTGCTGCTCAAGTTTAGACCTAAAAGACAGTATCAACCACAAGTCACTCACCTTAGTTTTGTTTCTTGTTTATATTATGTGAATACATTCTTTGGAAAATATTTCTGCTTTTATTTTATAATAAAAATTAGAAATCTAACTCGGCGTACAGTTGCTTCACTCGCCCGCGGGGTGTTTTCGGGCTCAGTTCTGAGCGGAACAGAGCGGGCGTTCTGCTGGGGGACGCCGGGGAAGGCGGTGTCGGGTGTTCAGACCCTGCAACGTGYCCCGTTTGGGGTGACCCGCGGAA